TCCTACCTTGGGCTCCCTGATGAACTGTGACCTGGGAGATGTAAGCTGAATAAACCCTTTCCTCCCCAAGTTGGTATTGGTCAGAATATTTTGTCACAGCAATGGAGAAACAAACTAAGACAGCAGGAGTTGGTTCTCTCCTTCCACCATGTGGGTCCCAGAGATTAAATTCAGGTGGGCAGGCTTGGTGGTAGGTGCCTTTACCTGCTGAGTCATCTCACTAACCCAAAGCAAATAATTCTCAATGGCTGTGTTATAGAGCAGTGACTACTGAGGTTGCTTTAAGACTTCCCTTCCTGTGAGTGGGAATTTATGTAGTACTTATCCTATCTGTTCTTCATCACCAAATCCTGAGGACACTGATAATTTCTCCTTTGGCTACACTTTGCTGGACCATAAAGAGGCATACATGAACCAGAAGGAGAGGGCTACACACTAGCCAGAAGTCCTGAATTAGTAGCTAAGTTGACCAAACTCTGGAGCACATATAAATATGAATATTTCATACCAACATGAACATTTTAGTGCGTTTTCATAAGAGTATGTATGATGTTAGGTAGGGCCTAGCAATAGATCTATCAGGTACTCTTCTGCCCTTTACCTTGATATCATGTGTGTACATATGCATACATACACACATATGCTTAAGTATATGCCCTCCTCTATGTGATTCAGGAACCACACCCCTACCCTCAGAACTAATCCAACAATTCTAGTTCCATTTCCTTTGCTAGTGACTTGTTTACACCAGAGCATATAATGAATTCTGGGCACTAAGATTAGAAGAAGTCTGCTAAGAGAAGAAAAGGAGTGTTCAGGAAATTTATACTTTAAAAGGAGGGCTGCAGACAGTGCAGATGTTAAAAGCTTACTACTCTTGCAGAGGACCTGGGTTCAGTTCTCAGTACCCACACTAGGCCGCTCACAACTCTGTGTAACTCCAGTTCCAGGAAATTTGACACCCTCTTCTGGCCTCCGTGGGTACTGAATTCATATGATGCACATTAACCCAGGCAGGCACATACACATACACATGAATAAAAATAAATTTTTTTAAAAAATTAAAATAAAAGAAACAGAAAAGGTTATCTACTCTTCCCCTGTTGCCACACATGCAGATGTTATTTGCTCCTCTCCTGACATGTTATGGCTATGAAGTGAGTTAACTCAAAGCTAAAATGCTATGGATAGCATAGCTGAACTATGAGGGAGAACTGGGGTCTTGATAAGTCACAGAGTTAGCTAATTGCAGGTCATCTATCTTCAGACTTCAATTGTTTGTTGTAACCTGTGGCCAAAAACAAGTGACAAAAAAGATAAAATCTGTCCCACACCATTTTAGTTGCCCTTTATACCTAGCTAACCAAATTCTGAATGTGCTCCAGGTTGGGGTATAGAAGACAATGTATTCAGCCCAAGACAATGAACAGATTAATAAAATCTGTGACAAGCATGCTTCTCATGTTTTCCAGTAGTTCTTGCAATCAGAATTCTAAACTGTCTCAGTGTGAGATAAAAATCTACTGGTAGAAGGTTAGTTTTTCAGGACACTTCTCTTTCCTGGCATACAAGGTCCAGTTAAGGCCTATGCTAACCTGTTCCCGATTTCTCCTGCCTCACATATGGATACAAGCAGACAGTCTGTAACCACAAAATGTCAAGAAAATCAGAGATGTAAACTGACACCACTCCATTACTGGACTCACCAGCAAATACCTAATACTTACATAAAAATTAAATTTCTACATGTTTAAGTTACTGTTAGTTGGGTAATTAGTTACTAACAGCTAAACTCCAGTTCTAGTATCAGTGACCGAATCACACAAAAAAAGGAAGGGTTGAGTATCTGTTAGATGGCCTGTTTTTCCATTCAAACCCAAGTAATTTTATCTGAATGTAAGGAAATTAAATCTTTATCTTAAAATTTATGTTAAAAAATCTAGGATAGGGGCTCAGAAGCTAAGAGCACTGGCTACTCTTACAGAGGACCCAAGTTTGGTTCCCAGCACCCAAAACTCCAGTTCCAGGGGATCTGAGGCCCTCTTTTGGCCCCCACAGACATCTGAGGTCAAATGGGTGCACTTACATACATGCAGGTAAAATACTCAATAGTAAATAAAACTTAAAAAACAAAAACAAACAAAAAAACAACTTTTTTCTTTCAAAATGAAAACTACCTTGGGAAAATTCAGAAAAAATTAATAGTATTTTAATTCCTTATCTCTAATCATGTCAGCTTTGGTTGATGGTGATCAGCAAATCTTAACAACAGATGCAAACATAATGAATTTTTGGGTGTTTCATAGATAAAAGTGACCTTTGCCAAGAGGGTTTTGTATTCTGAGCAAATTAACAATATGGCTATTATTACACCCAAGACAAAATAAAAAGAAGTTATAGACCTCATTCTAAGCTTGTGCTTTAACACAAAAATATAAAAAGCTTTATACTGTTAACCAAATTTCTTCTTGTGGGTAAACATATCATTGGGACCTGAAAATCCAATTAATTCCTGAAGCCAAAACTAAGAAAATGAAGATGGCAGACTGAGGAAATAGCTTTCAATAAAGTACCTGCTGTGCAAGAATGAGCTTGGATCCCTAGCACCCATGTAAAATCTTGGACATAGTGGCAGTGCCTATAGTTTTCGTGCTAGAAGGGTGGAGGCAAGAGGATCCTGGGGGATTGCTGGGTAGCCACTCTAGCCAATTAGCAAGCTCCAGGTTTAGTAAGAGACCCTATTTCAAAACTAAGATGAGCAGTGATTGAGGATAGCACTGAGTGTCAACCTCTGGTCTCCACACGCAGGTATATACATGTGTACACATATACACACACAAATTTTTTTTTTTTTTTGGTCTTTTTGAGATAGGGTCTCCCTGTAGCCCCAGCGGTCCTGGAACTCACTATGTAGATCAGGCTGGCTTCAAACTCACAGAGATCTGCCTGCCTCTGCCTCCCAAGTGCTGGGATCAAAGGCATGCACCACCACGCCTGGCCACAAAAGTTTTTTTTAAAAACAAAAATGAAGATGGTGGTTAAGTTTATCTGATCCTGCGTTGTCACAAGTTTCATTTGAAGTTCCAAGATATGAAATTTTAGAGTGGTAAAATTACAACAGTGGTCACATTAAACTGACAATACTCTCTGGGGAAATTTTAGAATTCAGCAAAGAAAAGTGCTATTTGTATTTCAAAAGTCTCTGATGACAATAAAAATGATTTTAAATTATAATCTGTGCTTATTCCCTGTTACATATTAAAGGAGACAGGGCTTTTAAAACTCAATCTTAAGTATCTATTGTTTTGTGTTTTAGGTATTAAGCTGCACATTTCATGACTCAATCTTATCTGATCCTTATAGGGCCTCATGGAGTGTATCTTGCCATGTTATGGAATTGAAGGAATTTCTTGCCAAAAAGTTTTTTTTTTTTTTTTTTTTTTTTTTTTTTTTTTTTAAAAAAAAAAAAAAAAAAAAAAAGTTGGCATGTTTGGTCTTTGCTTCCTTACGAAAAAGCTATGCTGGTATGATTGCCCTGTTTAGAAAGGAACGTGAGTTGAAAGAATAGGAGACATTTAAGCACTTTTTATATATAGAAATGACTTACTGAAACAAGTATCAATTTACCTTGAGCATGAGAAATGATGAACAGATAGGCTCCCAATAATCTGATGTAAATATATAGCTGAGTCATTGTTCAATTTTAATGTTTCCTGTACACTGCCACTTTGAATTACTGGTCCTGTTGTTTCACTAATTTAAATAACTTTACTGAATGATATTTTCTTCTAGAAGGCGGTAATCATTTGACAATGACTTCACCTGCTGCTGTCTTCTGACTCCTGAAAAACAAAAATATTAACAAGGCAATGAACACAATGAAATTCTCAGAAGTTTTCAAAAGCTGAGAGGAAAACAAGCCCAAACATACCTTTAAATACTGAAATACTTGTTTAAATTTTTTTGATGTGGTATTGGTGATCAAATCTAGGGTATTGCACATGCTAAATACCCTACCACTGAGCTACAGCTACAACAGCTCTATTGAAATATATTTTTTAAGATTAACGCTATCCTTGTTTAAAAAAGAGGGCATTATAATTACAAGGCTTAAATAATTTAGTAACAGGTTGCGACCTCTCCTGACCTCACATTAGCCAAGAAAAATACACTAAATCCCTGCTATCTGGTTAAGCTGATAGAAGCAGGAGGATTCCTTAAGTCTAGGAATTCTAAGACAAGCTGAACAAGACCAGGGAGATACCAGGTCTCAAGAAAAGAAAAAAGAAAACAAAAAAACCTCAATAGTTTTCTCTGGCTGCTTTAATGTAATTAAATTATTTTATTACTATAATGAAAGCACCAGCTGGGTATGATGTGCATCCCGTGATCCTAACACTTGAGAGGCTGAGGCAGGAATATTCTAAATTCCAGGCCAGTCTGGGCTACCCAGTCAGATCCTGTCTTATTGTTCCCACCACCACAGAAGAAGAGAGTTCCTTAATATAATAAGACTAAAACAAGAGGGACTGAAAAGATAGCTCAGCGGTTATGATCATTGGCTATTCAAGGGCAGGGGTCAGTTCCCAGCACCCACATGGCACCTAACAACCCTCCATAACTCCACCTGCCAGAGGATCTGATGTCCACTTCTTCCTTCCACAGGACTGCATGACATGGGTACACTTACATATATGCAGGCACTCATACACATAAAATAGAAATAAATAAATCAATCAAAATTTAAAAACACACAGGAAAGGTTGAATTTAAAATAATAAATCTTTAGGGGAGGCTGCTGGTGATTGAACTCAAAACCTTACACTTACTAAGCATGTGCACTACCAAATTAACTATACTCCCAGACCCTGGAAATGTACCTTAAATAAAATTATTTTCCTAAACTACTCCAAATTTGAATTTAGAATTAAGTTTATATCAATCAGGAAAACAAGAAGCATAATCTTTCCAATTATGACTGGGCTATTGGCCAGGTACAGTGACACACGCCTTTAATCTCAGCACTTGGGAGGCAGAGGCAGGCAGATCTCTGTGAGATGGAGGCCAGCCTGGTTCACATAGTAAGTTCCAGTCTAGTTGAGGCTACAGGGAAACCCTGTCTTTAAAAAAAAGATTTGGCTATTGTGCTGGATAGCTTTAGTGTCAACTTGACACAGCCGGGTTGCGGGAGCCTCAATTGGGGAATTGCCTCTATTGGACTGGCCTGTGGCCATGTCTGAGGGCATCTTCTTGATGAGTGATGTGGGAGGGCCCAGCCCACTGTGGGTAGTGCCACCCCTGGGAAGGTGGGCCAGTGTGGCATAAGAAAGCAGGCTGAGCAGGGGCCAGGAGAGCAAGCCAGTAAGCAGCATTCCTCCATGACCTGTGCTCCAGCTCCTGCCTCCAGGTTCCTGCCCTGAGTTCCTACCTTGGGCTCCCTGATGAACTGTGACCTGGGAGATGTAAGACAAATAAGCCCTTTCCTCCCCAAGCTGGTATTGGTCAGAGTATTTTGTCATAGCAATGAAGAACAAACTAGAAAAGAAATTGGTACCAGAGAGTGGGATATGGCTGAGACAGACCTGACCTTGGTGTTTTGGGGAAGACTGTGGAAGTGTTTGGAACTTTGGGCTGGAAAAGCCACTGCGTACTCAGAGTTTGTTGCAGTGGAGCTTGGAAGAGTTACACTGAAAGCTGCAGACGGTGGAGGCCTGGCTTGTGAAGCTTCAAAGGGAAGCGGAGACTATCAGGGCTGTTTGTGTGAGATTTTGGATTGAGAATCTGTGGGTTCTGGTCAGTTGGAGCTGAAGGCTGTGATTAAGAAGAGACCAGAATCTGAAGTAAAACCTTTGCTTCACTGGGACAATTGATGCTGGTTAGTTGGGGCTGAAAAATCAGCTGTAAGTAACAAGAGACCAGCATCACTGTTGTGGAATCTTCTGGGGGGTATTTCCTCAGGGGCAGCACGCAGAGGGGACCCACACCTCTATTTCAAGCTGGAAGCAGGACTTGGTAATGTGTAAGAGTCTCCTTCATGGTTCTGGTGTTGAAGGCGTGAAGGGGTCACAGAGAGCAGCTGAGGCTTGGCACTCTGAGAGGCCAGGAAAGGCCATAGGTGAAAGTGCAGCTTCAGCTGCAGCGAAGACCCCAGGATTGAAGGGGTCATGGAGAGATTCTGAGGCTTTGCACCCCAAGAGGCAAGAAGAGGCCATTGGTGAAGGTGTAGCCTGTTTCAGTGGTGACCCCAGCTTTTTGGAGATGCCGGGACCATGGGACAACCACCAAGGACAGTGGCAGTTGTGGAATGGAGCTGGCCTGGTCTGCGAGATGAGCTGAGTGTGCTGTGGACGGCAGTCAGAGCAGTGGAACTGCCAGTACCCTTTGGAGCCCAGAGAATCCTGAGTGAATCCCAGATGTCCAGCTTCAAGCTACTTTGCTGGACTTAGGTTTTGCTTAGGTGTGCCCGATTCTTCCCTTTGAAATAAGACAGTACTTGTTTTGGATTTTACAGAAGCCCACCCTCGCTCCCTGATGAACTGTGACCTGGGAGATATAAAACAAATAAACCCTTTCCTCCTCAAGTTGGTATTGGTCAGAGTATTTTGTCACAGCAATGAAGAACAAACTAGAACAGCTATTAATAATACAGACAAATGAACAACAAAATGGGTAATTTTCAGCAAGATGAACATACCTCCATTATTGGACCATTCTATTGGTTCAAGCCACTTGGTTTCATTGACTAGATCTAAACTATTTCTTAGTGAAAAGGTTTTGTTTATTTATGACTTAATTATCCCTAGTGTTATTTCCACACTAAGTAATCAGAGTTTTATGTTACCTAGTTAAGAATTTCACTTTAGATATCCAAAGGTTATATACAGTATTGAGGAAATACAGTCTATAGACAGTACATTTTATAGGTGGCTTAATTCTAAAAAAAGTTTTTATTTTATTTTTAAGACAGGGTCCTGCTAATAGCTCAGGTTGCCTAGAATTCTGGGACTCATAATGATCCTCTTCTCTCAGGCTCTCAAAGGCTGAGATCATATGAATATACAAAAAAGCCCTCCTGGTTTAAAATTTCTGCAACATCCCCATCCTCCCAACCCCCACTCCCCAAATTTTTCTTTTCTGAGATATGAGCTTATGTAGTTCAGGCTGGCCATGAACTCACCAGGCAGTTGAGGATGACCTTGAATACTGACCCTCCTGCCTCTGCAGAACTGCTGGGTACTACAGGCTTTTGTCATCACACCTGGCTTAAATTTTAGCATTTTTTTAACTTCTCTGTGATAGAAGTAAATTGCTTCTCATCATATATTACTGAGGTTTTTTTTTCTAAGTTTGCAATATGACTAAACAGCATGTTTGTAGAGAACCTACCTCTTTAAACATTATTCAACTGTTTGATTCTAGGAATGATTATTCTAGGT